CTGCTACAAATTAGGAATTATAATTTGTAAACGTTTAGCTGTTTCCAGCAGTTCCGTTGACCTAAAAGGGTCACATTGGACCAGGAACCAAATGTTCAATCTGCTGATTCACCCAGACTGGAGAGAGCATTTTTCTCAAGTTTTTCACGTACACATGGTTGTTGAGTCTGATCTTGTTCACACTACAAACACACTGAACCAAGGCCATTTCCTCAATGGGGCTCTAATAATAAGCACTAAAGGTTTGAACTTGTTCATCTAATCTGTTTTCATCATTGTTTATTCTGTTTCCATAGCATTTAGGGTCCATTTTATGTAAAACACTTATGTTAACACTTCTAAAGTATGAGATAATCTGTTTACAGTAATAAGAGGGTTTAATTCATGTGTTGGTGTCTTGTCTCACTAGCTGCCCTCTAGTCAGACATAGCTGCATCAACTCTCAGAATAAAACCCTCAAGGTGCAAATAGCTGCTCAGTAACCAGCTGTTTTATACACCAGGTTCTGGTGCTGCTTACCAAGCCCAAAATTCTCCATCTCAGTGTCCTGCATGAATTTCAGATCATAACCAACCTCGTAAACTTCTGAGAGGAAACGCTAAAGCCAGAATCCAGACGGAGCCAGCAGGTTTTAATGGTACAGGATTCTAATGAAACACTCGTCTCCCAAAGAGCTGACGTCATTTACTCTCTCTCTCTCTCTCTCTCTCTCTCTCTGTGTGTGCGTGTGTGTGTGTGTGTGTGTGTGTGTGTGTGTGTGTGTGTGTGTGTGTGTGTGTGTGTGTGTGTGTGTGTGTGTGTGTGTGTGTGTGTGTGTGTGTGTGTGTGTGTGTGTGCTGTCCTGAAGGTTTTCTGGTTTCTCCAGCATCTGAGGGCAGAGCATATGTTTTGGGGTCACTTTGATGTGTCACCTAGATGGTTTGGCGTCTGAAACATTGGGAGTCGTTCTTCATGAGGAACTTGCGATGCAGCTCGGTCACCCAGACGAACCCCAGTTAGCTTGGTGGTTCACACGCTTCTGAGCTTCTGGCTGGTTCAAACAACTCCATAGGTTTGCCTGAGCCTACTGATAGTTTGAGCTGCTCCTTTGAGGAGGTGCAGGTAATGATGCGTTCATGTTGTTGATTCCTGGTCGGAACTCATTTCCTCCACCTGGTGCTCCACACACTAATGATTTGTCCAGATTAAAGTAGAAAAATTCCCATGTGTTGTCATTCTGCAGCCTCTGGTCAACAGTCTCAGCCAGCAGGCTGCTTTCAACATTCCTGCCCTCCCAAGCCCGTTAGCACGCACCACTGATGTCACTTCCTTCTCCGAGGGCTCCGGGTCCTCAAACATGACTCTGGCTGGTGGTGATGTGATACCCCCACTGAGCCCACAGCAGCAGATGAGTCTGAGAAGTCCTAGAAAGTGTTCCACAAGCACAAAAACAAAAGCCATACACTGATAATTTATGTGTCTCGGCCTCGACTTTTATCTGGTGTCATTTATTCGCTTAAACGCTCCCAGGAGGAAATCGTATGTCAAACTGACCCGGCAGACCTGACACACAGAGGAACTATAGATGACCTAATCCACCACAGAAGGAAGCTGCTGCTGTGGATGCTGAACCAGGAGGAGACAGTTTATGATCCACACTGACATTCTGTTGCCACTTGCTGGCCAACACGGGAATCGCAGACTGGGAGTCACTCACTCATCATCTAAACCAGTGGTTCCCCACCTTTTTCCTACAGGGACCTCCTGGCCTGTGTCCAAGACAATCAGGGGCCCCTACACCCTAACTCTTACCCACATAAACACATAAAGTTGATTAATAAACTTTACACAGACATACAAAAATAATTCTTATACAGAGTTTTGATTATACTATTGGATGTTTTATTGGGATTTTATAAATGTAATTTTTACAAATATAATGTACCTCACAACCTCAGAAAAGACAAGACTGTGGGGACTCCCCTGAGGGGTCACGGTTGGAAACTACTGATCTAAACAGCTTCATCGTCTGTAGGGTTGTAGGGAGCCATTCATAACACTTGCCTACGCACAAGAAGAGTTTGAAAATTACATAAGTCATCTTCCACGAAACCTTTCTTTATAGATCATAAACTTTATAGGAAAATTTGTGCTTCTTTAAACAAACATGTACAAGCACATTTTGGAGACATGAAACCTGGCATTGCAGCCAGTGAGATGGTAACACGATAAATGGAAGCTGCATTTATAGACTTGGAGACCTTTGCATGCACACACACACACACACACACACACACACACACACACACACACAGCCGATAGCCCCACCACACTCCTGTCTCTTAATAAGAATCTTAATGAATATTTTGTATTTAAGATATCATCCCACATTCATATGTACCTTCAAATTACTTATTTGTGCATTAATAATTTGACGTTCTGCAGCGCATCAATTATTAACCAAACTTTAAAACACGGCCGGAGACCGAACCACAGCGAGCCAGGGAAGAGCTCCACCTGCTGCACTCTCAGGTTTTCGTCATGAATCCAGTTAAATAAGTATCTTCTCCACGGACAGCAGCGACAGACACATGAGGCGCTCACTTCGCCATGGAGAAAATGTTATCAATTGCATTTAAAGACCAGCTGATCAGATCTATTGTTAGGTAAATATTCTAAAGAATAATGCAGAGAGGTGCTCCAGATACAGACTGACAGTACAGAGAGTGGCAGGTAGAACAGGGTTAGGAAGTTGAAAAGAAAAAGCATGCCTTCTCCTCAGGACCAGGAAATCTTCCTCCTTGCATCCATCCGACCACTTCTTTTTTAAGTTTTGTTTTGCATATTTGATGTTTGCTGTGGAGCGGCTTCACGGCACAGCTCACCGCCGTAACAGCACGATGCCACTGGAATGCAATCAAGCATTTTTCCGTGTTCACACCTCTCACAAATACCTCGATTTCCTTGGTTGCCAGGTTCACTGTAAAAGTCAAAGTCCCATTAGTTGTCACACACACTGATGTGTGTGCGAAATTTGTTCTCCACATTTGACCCATCCCTTGGGGGAGCAGTGAGCTGCAGACACAGCTGCGCTCGGGAACCATTTGGTGGTTTAACCCCCCAATCCAACCCCTTAATGCTGAGTGTCAAGCAGGGAGGCATTGGGTCCCATTTTTTCAAAGTCTTTGGTATGACCCGACCAGGAATCAAACCCTGATCTCCCAGTCTCAGGGCGGACACTCTACCACTAGGCCACTGAGCTGGTAAAATGCAACTGATCAGGCTCATTCATACACAGCATATTCATAAAGTGCTTTGCAATGACCATTTAAGGCATAAATTGGGTGTGAATGAGGCAGGGTGTCATCCAAAAACACATATCAAGTATGGGTGTGATTTGTGAAACAGGAATAGGTCAAAACCTTGTTTGCTGCACTTAGAGTTTCAGTAAGAATTTTTTAAATAAGGCTCCTGGTGTCTAACTCCAGCTGTCATCAGATAATAGGTGGGGAACACCCTGGTCCATCATGGGGACACACAATGACAAGTGGTCCCTCTCACACACACACACACACACACACACACACACTCACGCACGCACACACACACGCACACACACACACACGCACGCACGCACGCACACACACACACACACACACAAAGAGGGACCTTTTAGAATCTCCAATTAACCTGACATGCATGTTTTTGTCTGTAGAAGCAAGAATGTGTTGGCTGGTAGAACGAGTACCTGGAGGAAACCCTGTGTGCATGAGGACAGCATGCTGACTCCATGCAGAAAGGTCACAGGTGGAATTTGAAACACTTTCTCTCTGTAAGGTAACAGTGCAACAAACTGTGAAAGCATGCTGCCCAACTGGGAATCAGTTGTGTTTAATCTTGATTATATATGAAAACAAAATCAACGTTTAATCAGACAAGTACGTTCACACACTTCAAAAGAAATGAACGCCTTTCACTTTGTAGAATTCCCTCATTACTTTTTAGTTTTCTCTCAGTTTCTGTGAGGTTCTGTGTGTGTGTGTGTGTGTGTGTGTGTGTGTGTGTGTGTGTGTGTGTGTGTGTGTGTGTGTGTGTGTGTGTGTGTGTGTGTGTGTGTGTGTGTGTGTGTGTGTGTGTGTGGTTCCTCACCTCTTCTCCTCAGGTGTGACAGGCAGGCCGCACCAGGTGCCATTGATCAGAGGCAATTAAGGTGGAGCACTTAAAGCTGGCCGGAGGAGGAAAGCAGATGCCAGATGATTAAGCCACACAGCTTGTCGTCCCGACCTTCTGAGTTCCCAGGATCTCCCAGCGTCTTCCCTGAACCGTGGTGTCTGCTTCACCCAGTGCTCCTCCTGGCTGCGGTGCTTCAGCCTTTTCATCCACGCCCTGTTGGATCCTCTTCTCCACCTGCCTGTCCACCCTCGAGCCTCCAGCAAAATCTCAACCTCAGCCTGCCACACTCCCACACTGGACCTCACCTCCTCTCCAAACACTCCTCGCCACGCAGACCAGTAAGCTCACCCCCTTCAATTCTTTTATCAGAACAGTCTCCTTGCTCCTCGACTCACCTTCTTTTTCCCCTTCAGAACCGCCTCTGCAAACCCGTCCAGAGTTCCTCCACCATTTTGAGAACCCGCTGAACTTTTCAATAAAACTGTTTAAAACTTTCTCCTGTGTCCGGGTGTGTTCGCTCCAGAGTCTCCTAGAATCATGACAGTTTCAGTTTAAACATGATTTTTTTATACCAGTAAAAAACTTTGAATAAAACATTTCTAAACAAACACGACTGTATTCATCACTGGAAACCCCTGTAGTCTATATTGTTGGGTTCTGATCCCACTGGTATCCAGTGATTCAGATAAATATATGTTGAAATCTTATAACTGAATGGTTGGAGTTTATGAGTGAGGTTTGGATTTGGGATTAAGATTAGGGTTATTCTGTACATGATGTCTGTATGTGATTTCATTTTATTTCTTAAATTCCCAACTTGTCTTGAGCCCCCTGTTTTCTCGTGCCGTTATGAAAAAAGACAAAAGTCGAAACCAGCCTTTTGATTCTTCCTTCTTATCCGTGTAGAATATCCAGAACCAGACGGTTCTCTGGACTGGCTGTAACAGAACCTCCAACGCCCCTCTACTCTTGTGTGATTTGGGTGAAGACCTCAGAACCTTCTTGTATACGGGTTAGTCCCAGCTCTCAGGCCCCTTCTCCTATCAGAGCATCACTGCATAGTTGACGTCTCACCACAAGGGGGAGCGATTTTCTTAGTCCAGTGAGTAAAGGTTCTGATGCTGCTTCGCCTCATTGGATCTTTATTCCACAGGAACATTGAAGTTAGTTGATCTAACCGATGCTTTTCTTTGTCGTATGTTTTAATTTTGCAAAATTTTGAGTTTATCAGGTAAGATTTTCCTCTTTTAGGAGGAAAATTCTCAAACTATGGTGCGCCAAGTGTAAATCGCATTTAAGCCCATTATATTTAGGTTTAGAATTAGCATTTAGATTTAGATTTAACATTTAGATTAGCTGAAATTAAGTGATATTTAAGCACATTTTTAAATGTGATAAAAGTTGCTAAATGTTGGAAAACTGAGCTAAGTATCAAATAAATGTCTGCTAAATAATGTACACCAGCGATTTACGCATGGCGCCCCATATCAAACACCCCCAGATTGCGCAAACGCGCCGCGCATCACCACCGCTGCGCACTCATCAAACCCAGCGAACTTGAGTTGAACAGCTGCGAGATGAATTTGTCTTCACCCAACTTCCCCGGCTGGAGAGCGGAGACGGTTCTGATTTCTTTGGGCTTTTCGCTCATCTTCCTGCTCGGCATCGCGGGGAACTCTCTGGTTCTGGCGGTTCTGTGTCGGAACGGCCAGATGAAAACCAAAACCACCAACATGTTCATCTTCAGCCTAGGAGTGGCGGATCTCTGCTTCATCGTCTTCTGTGTCCCGTTTCAGGTGACCATCTACACCCTGGACCAGTGGGTGTTCGGTTCGGTGCTCTGTAAAGCCGTGCACTTCCTCATCTTCCTCACCATGTACGCCAGCATCTTCACCTTGAGCGCCGTCTCCGTGGACAGGTGCGTGTCCTGGCTGGAAGCTGCAAATACTGTGGTCATTCATTAGTCACAAAAACAAATCATCTGCTTTGGTCTGAGGAGGATTCAGTACTGAACCTGAACCCTCTCATCTACAGGGAGACTGATGATTGAAGTCAATCAGCGTCAGAGTTTAGTCTTCAGAGATTACAACCAGCAATTAAATAAATATCACATTTATTGGAAATATTTGGATTATTAAAACTGCTGTTAATTCTGTATTTTCAAATCAATGATGCAGACAAACGTGATTATTGCCATGGCGCCTCATGTGGTAACAATTACAAGGAAGTCAGTGCAGCTGCACATAGACATTGTAATATACTCTAAGTGTAAAGGAAAACTAATCCTACAGAAATGTGAAAACGACTGGAATAGCTAGTTGGGTTCACCATGGCAACCACCCATTTGTGTCTGTCACTCCCTCACAGTAAACTCGGCGAGAGTCAGACATGCAGGAGCTCAAACTAACCCCGAACAAACAGCTACTGGTGAAAAAGATATTCGGGAAACGTTGCTGAACTCTGAGCATCAGAAGGCTGTGATGGTCACACTGGAGAAACTAGAGCGCCTAATCTCAGGTGCACCTACAGCAGGTGTTCCTACTGGTTGTTTGGTGAGCTTAAAATAGATTAGTCATGTTTTACTAGTTCTGACAGAACCACAGTGGGCCGTGCGGGACAGCCTCACAACCGTTTTAGACTCTACAAGAGGCTAACTAGCTTATAGAAGAGTCACAGCAGCCCAAACTATTCTAACAGTTCTTGCCAAGCAACAATAAATAAATAAATAAATAAAACAATAGATTTATTTTAGCTATTTGTCTTTACTCTCGGACGTTGTTTGTTTTACGTGATGTTCCTGTTGGTCAGCATGAGGTGTGAAGACCTCTTGGGGTTTAGAACAGGGGTGTCAAACATGCGGATCCGGCCCGTAAGCGGGTTAAATCCGGCCCACGGGATGGTTGTGTAAACTTTATTTTCATACTTTACAATGTAGAGTGAAAATAAACTTATCTCTGTGAGCAAGTTTCCTCTGTAATGAGTATAAATAAAACAAAGCTGCACTCAAGGCTCACACAAGAACTTGAATCACATCCTGAAGTTGGCCGCCGGTCAGGATGTGACTTCTGATATTGATGTTCTGGTGAAAGCTAAAAGATGTAAAGTAAAATGAGTCAAATATACTTTGAGTGCTGCATGAAACTGATCTAGCCATGTGATCTGTAAGCTCTTTGAATCACTAAGGAATGTTTTTTTTTATTTAATGATTTTTTTTTTTTTTTTTCAAATTTTCAAGTACACTTCAGGTGTTGTACTTGTACTTTTTTGGATACACTGTCCTCAGGCTCCAGCTTTGTTTTATATTGATTGTATTAAAACAAAGAAAACAATCTGAAGTTGTTTTTATTTACCGGTCCGGCCCACTTGGGACTAGATTTCCCTCAATGTGGCGCCTGAGCTAAAATGAGTTCGACACCTCTGGTTTAGAATTTAGGTTTTATCAAACTCTGAGGCTGAAGCTGAATGTGATTGATCTTCAATTCATATCTTCTGGCTTAAAGTAGTCACATGATAGGTTGATACATCGCCATCCATTTCAGCTCAACTTCTGATTTATTCTGTTGAGCAAACGTCAGCCTTTGATCTGCAGCCTTTTAACCATTTCACCGCTGAAACTCACAGGTCTTCTCTGCTCCTGCAGGTATTTAGCTATTTGCTACCCGCTGCGCTCCAGGCACACCAGGACACCGAAGAACGCCCTCACCTCCATCTGCCTGGTTTGGGTCTTGGCTTTGGTTTTCTCTGCACCGTACCTCAGCTACTTTTCTCAGATGGACTTAGCCGGTACCCTGCTCTGTATTCCTGCCTGGGAGCCCAGACCTCGTGTCATCATGGACATGTTCACCTTCATCTTTGGCTACCTGATCCCATTCCTGGTGCTCAGCCTCACCTACACTCGTACCGTCCACTACCTGTGGACTAGTGTGGATCCTGTAAAGGACGTGTCTGAATCTAGAAGATCCAAATGGAAAGTCACCAAAATGATCATCGTTGTAGCTGTGCTCTTTTGCCTCTGCTGGCTTCCTCACCATCTTGTTGTCCTCTTCATGTGGTTCGGATACTTCCCGCTCAACCACACCACCTACATCCTTCGCATCATCTCCCACCTGGTGGCCTACGCCAACTCCTGCCTCAATCCCATCGTGTACGCTCTCGTCTCCAAACACTTCCGTAAAGGTTTCAGAAAGGCGTTCAGCTGCTCGATGAAGAGGAGAGAGGTGAACAGGATACGCGTCATTCCAGCAACCAACACCGTCAGCAGCGCTGAGACAAAAGCCTCAGAGGAGGACTCAACTGCAACCTGATCAACCTGGGTCTGGATCCTTAAGTCTGAAGACCACCCACACAGAATAAAGTCCTGTCACATCCGTCACTCTTCCCTTTTCCACCTGTGTGATGGCTCTGATTTCATAAACTAAATCATTAAAGATGCATTCCTCATCTTTGACCTCGTTGCTGCTGCTACAATATTCCAGTCACTCAGACCATCTCGTGTTGATTTTGTTGTTTTTCAGTTTTAGTAACAAGTGATATAAAAAAAAAACACAAAAATATCAGGATATAAAATGTGTACAGGGG